CGTTCCATCTCTCACATGTGGACGTCTCTCTGCGGCTGGGTTTCCCCTCCTTCGACTGCCACTCTCTTATTCGTCTTCACCGCCGGCCATCATCATCATCCTCATCCCATCTAGCAGCAGTATGAAGGTAGTGTTGGTGCAGTGTGTGTGTTTTTTATTCTCCGGCAGGTATTTCGCGTCCGCAGGAATAGAGCGATGAATTTTCCCCTGGCTCTTCCAGAAATTCGTGCGCGTTTCCGTGCGCGAGTTAATGATGAAATGCGAGGTAGTTGGGGCAAAGTGACATCAATTTTACATTTTGGTAAAAAAAAAAAACACCTTTCGTGCTGTTAGTTCCGGGCAAATGCTTTCTATTATGATGATGTATGGGGTTATATGCGCTGTGTGGTATCAGTGCGCGTAGTGTACAAGTAAAAAAAAACCACATAGGCTATATGGCACGGATTATAAGCGCGACAACAAGCAAAAGAATAAGGTCGCGTGTATTCTTGCGGAGCGTTTAATTTGCCAACCCCCCCCCAACCCCCCCACACATTCCGACCCCCACGGTTACCAGAGGTAATACATAGTCGGGAGATGCGGAGAATGCTCCGTTATCCGCGACGCATCACGAAGGTGGAACAACCTGGTGTCTCATGCGTTCAACTGGAGCGGGCCGCGTGGGTTACAGTTCCACGGTGGTTAGTGGTTTGTGCAAGTGCAATTAATCCTGCGATCCGAGTTCCTCTCCCCGTTCGTCCGAGGTCGATAGCCGAGGCCATGGCAGTGCGATGTGTCCAAATGTTGGGCCACTTTGTTGGGCGGCTGTCATTCGTGGACAGGTCGCTTTTAAACAGGTGGCCTTTGTTTGGTCGGATGGGGATGGTCTCGTTTTATTTGTATGTCTTTGGGTGATTTATTTACCTTTCTTGTACTTTACACTACGATTGTGTTTTGAACTGTTTGTTGCTAGAACGTTCTGACCCCGTGCCCCTACTGGACATCTGTGGCAAAGAGCTTTATAGCTCATCGGATTCCTCCAATATAAGTACATATTCTGATATTCTGAAGCATTGCACGCTAGGGGAAAAGACGCCCGCTCCATGTTGTTGCGGCCAACCCACCACCGCCTTGTGCCGCTAGCGGCCTTTCACACCTCTGATGAGCGTGGTTGGCTGCGTACGGCGCGAAAGAGGTTCGACGTACATACGATGCATGCCAGTTGAGTGGCGAGTGATGTATGAACTCCCCCGCCCTCCTTTGTTAACCCGCACTGCCCATAGTGGGGTGAAGTATGGCCAAACAAACCGACATGGCCGCGTTGCGCGCACGGAATGTGGGTGCCTTCATTCATCAGCTGATTGACGAAGAGGTTCCGTGTTTGTATTTATCTGTTGATATATCTATTCACATGAAACGGTTAAGTTCCATTGCGGGAGTATTCCCTGTCAATCCGTTCTCTACACTGAATTGCTTGGACAACCTGAATGAGAATGCTCATGATCATTGCGTTCCAGCTCATGGAGTCTTTATCTTCTTTATCTTATCGACTTGTCCTCGCGTATTTTTTGGCTGAAAACAAAATCCAAATTCACGTCTGTATGTGAATAGCAGCTTAAGCATTCACGACGACTCATGATTCGTTTATTTCGGGTTGCATCGTGTCGGAGTTGTAACTCTAACCCTCCACCACCCGACAGAGCAAATCAAATCAAGTTGACACGTGGAGGACGAATATACCATTTGCATTTTGTTTTTTTCCACAGCCCGTAATGTTTGAAAGCAACATTCTTAACGATTCGTAACAAGGTATTTTGTGAACGTTTTTGAAATTCTTACAGATGTGGTTTTGTTTTCTTCTATACTTATTTGCATTGTGTTTGATACTGTAACCCAGGTCTCACTTGATAAAGAGACGTCCTCAATGAGTTCCCGCATGCTCAGAAATACAGCTGACGTCAGATGTCCGGCTATACATCTGTCGGCGTGTAAACATCGCAACTGGAGAGACAAAGGCGGTCGGGCGTGGTGCTGCCCAACCATACCCTTCGTGTGCCGTGCCGGCCTTCATCGGTGCCCGCTAACAGCACTTGCCCCAACGGTCTTGCAAAGGCTATACGGTGGATCTCTGTCTTTGTGTATGCACGTACAGAATAATGCCCAGACACGATTGAGTGGTGATGGCATAATGAACTGGGAGATTGTTTTGTCTTGTCGTTGATAGTCTCATCTGTGCTTAACTGATATTTTATGAAAAAGGAATAAGCACATTGATGTTGGAGATTACTGCTTTCGACAAAGAAAGTAATCTGCCTGCTCTCTAGAGTGATGGAAAAACCCGTCTCTCACCGTCTCTACACACTGAGATAAATACCATATTCTCTGGATAATAAGACGCTCCGGGAAGAAAGGCGCACAACCCCCCCCCCCCCCTATTGGATTATATGACGCACCCCATTATTTCCCCTATTAACAAATGGGGGGGGGGGGGGTCTTATAATCGAGACAAGAGGGCGATAGCTTGAGACGTTGCCGCTACGACGATCACGCTCCATGGATCAGGTCAAATCATTCATATCAAAATCGTATTTTTCAAAATTATGAGATTGTTCGGAAGAATGAGTATTGGCATTTGTCCAATAATTACCTCGGAAAGGCCGAGTGAATCTCAAGACACGCTGTTGAAGGTGGTGTTGCTACATTCGGAGGTTGGGACAATGTCATTGTTTCATGTCCTGCTTCGCGTTAGACTGACATCGGACTACCCGGAGATATACCACCACGCAAACCACTCAAAGTTCCGCACGGATAGATTCTAGAATCAATTGCTGAGTCTGAACGTGATCCAACAACCGTTGCATCCAGCGCTCCGGATCGTAGCCGTGCACCGCCAAAAATACCAACTCTCTGTATATTTTAAACCAAATATACTGCATCAAAATACATATTTGATAGCGCAGGTGTGCTCTCATCCACATCATTTCGGCTACTCTTGGGCATTTCTACAGCTGATCGTGCAGTATTTAAACACGGATATACTGCATTGCTAAAATGAAACTCCAGAACAAATCGGTGCTGTTCTGTTCTGTGCGAGGACACCTCGTTGCGTCACTTAACATCGTCGTCATCATCGTCGTGGTCATCATCATCATCATCGTCGTCGTCATCATCATCATCGTCGTCATCGTCATCATCATCGTCGTCGTCATCGTCGTCATCGTCGTCATCATCATCGTCGTCATCATCATCATCGTCGTCATCGTCATCATCATCATCATCGTCGTCGTCGTCGTCATCGTCGTCGTCATCATCATCGTCATCATCGTCGTCATCATCGTCATCATCGTCGTCGTCGTCATCATTGTCGTCATCATCGTCGTCATCGTCATCATCGTCGTCATCATCATCATCGTTGTCATCATCATCGTCATCATCGTCGTCGCCGTCGTCGTTATCGTCGGCGTCATTATCGTCGCCATCAGCGCACAGATTGAATCCCGTGACTAACGAGCACCCCTCGCTCGGCCGCGCACCTTTGAGTGACAGGGTTCGCTCACTCGCTCCGCATCGCATTACCGGCGCTGCTGCGCTCGCCGCCTCTGATTAAACGCGCGAGTGCGCTTGCGCAGAGCAGGTCGCTGACGTGAAGATGACAAACCCCCCTACCTTCAACACCACCACCACCACTACCCTTCCCCCGTCGTCTTTCTCTCTCTCGCGCGCGCGCGCACACATACACGCCGAGTCATCTCACGGGACCCACCCACCCGTTCCATCTCTCACACCCCCCCACCACCCCCCTCCTTCCACCACCACCACACCTCCTCCGACCTCTCACATCCACGCTCCCCCTATCTCGCTCCATCGTAGAAACCGCACGCACGGACGCGTACAGTGCGCGCAGTTGCTCTTGACGATGGCTGTGCGGTTCCCGCGTTGAAAGACCCATTCAGGTGTGCGGCAAAGAGTTGGGGAGAGAGAGAGAGAGAGCGAATGAGAAATTGAGAGAGAGAGAGAGAGGATACGGAACGAGAGTCCTGCGGTTCCATCTTCTCCGACCCCGAATATGCACAGACACACACACAGACAATCGCACCCACGGGCTATCAACACGAGGAGTCCTAAGGCGTGGCGATGTGAGCGGCACCGTTATTAGTAACAGTTAGGAAGGGGAGTGCGCGTGCGGTCGCCTGCTCCTCTATAAAACACGTCAGCACCCATCGAGCGTCCCTCGCTATCACGGGGGCGACGTCATCGGCTCCCCCGGTGAACACATTGCCGCTGCCAAGGCGAACGCGCAAACATTAATTAAAAATAATTGCCGCATCCATTGCGGCGGCTTCTTCCGAACCCGCGCGCGGCGTTGCGGTGGCGCCGTCTGCTCAATGGCAGCCGAACGTCGTGATGATGTTCGGGAATCATTGGCGAGCAGTCGTCGCCGGTGCCCCTACGCGGCTAATGCACAATGTGTCTGTGCGCAAGTCGAACTCGCGTCGCGCTAATTCGCATCGACATCCCCGATTGCGAGCTACACACAACTCGGACCCCCAACCACGCGAGATTAGCATACGCCTTAACAACTGCCTGCCTCTTGATCGTCGATTATTGTTATTATTGGTGGTGGTGGTAGTAGTATTGCAAGCTTAGATTGCTGCTGCTTCGTGTTGTTGTTAGGCATTGTTTGTGGTTAGGCGCAATTCGCGCTATCGCGTCGCTGGCATGGCACGCTCGGGATGGATGGAGCCGGGGAGGGTTAAAGTCAGCGTGCCGAGAAAAGCGAGAGAGAGGAGCTAGAGAGAGAGAGAAATTGAGGAGGGAGAGAGAAGCGGGTAGGATTGGGGGAGGAAGGGTAGCGGAGATAAGAAGAGAGCGAGCGAGCGAGAGGGAGGGAGGGAGCGAGAGAAGAGCGGGAGGGAGGGCGGGAATGGTGGTGGTGGGGAGAGGCGTTGCTGCCTACGGGAGTAAGAGAGAGAGAGGGGGGGGGGAGGGAGAGAAACGGGGAGAGGTTAGGGAGAGTGAAACGGGAGAGAGAGCAAAGCCCTGACGGAGGGGGAGGAGGGAAGCTCTCCCGTCTTTGCGCATGCCTGGGACTCTGCTGCTGCTGCTGTTTGAGAGCAGCAGATGAACGAAGCTCAGAGGAGGGAGAGAAAAAAAATCTCCGTCCCGAGGTGGCCGTGCGCGCATGCGCTTCCGCGTCTGATTGATGCCGTATTGTGTGCGCTGCGATCGCTTTGGATTCGCACCAGAGAGAGAGTGGGGATACGAGTTGTTACGTCGGTGCTGTAATACAAGAGTGGCTCTAATAAGAAATACAACAACAACAAATCCACCTCGCTTCGAGATGCCATTCTGGCCGCGAGGGTGAATAGGCAAATTCCCGGCTCGTAGAAGAGAACGCGGTCAGGTGTGTTGCTTTTTGTGTGTGTGTGTGCGCGTTAATTACAGTTTTATTATTTTATTTCCTTATAGCTCGATCGCTCGCTCGCTCGCAGTCAAATTGGCGCAGCGTACGTATTCTTCAAAGCGACCCAAAAAGATCAGTCGAGTCCCTGGGTATCGGAATTCGATTTCGCGTTAACACACCGCAAGACGCGACTGGAAACTGTGAGTCCCGTGCTCTGCTTGTACTCCGCTGCCGATCGATGTGTTTGCGGTAAAGATTTATTAGCCGTATTGGGCTATTGTGTTTTCGAATCAGGCTACTTGCCGCCGTCACGCTCCGTTTTCCATGTAATATTCAGCGCGCCTTAGGACGAAAGGAAACAAACAGACAAAAATAGATTATCCACCGCGAGTTGCTTTTCCCTTCTCAATTCTTCCATCGCCAAGTGTTGGGTGCTGTCGCGGGGTTTAGAGGAAGCGGACAGGGCCGCCTTATAGCCGACGCAGGGGCGATTTCGCGTATCGGGAGCCTCTCTCTCTCTCTCTCTGCAGTTCTATCGTCCGGTAGCAGCAGTATCATCATCATCTATCCGAATGAGTGCAGTAGGAGCAGCAGCAGCAGCGATAGCTCCAGCCGACAGCCCGAACGCGTGTAACTTTGTAGCAGCCAGCCCGTGCTATATTGCGAGTTGCAGTCTCCATCTGTTCAAATATACATTCGTACATTCGTTCGCCGTCTCCCTCGCGGTCACAGCGCATCCTTGATCACTCGGCAGGTCATCTCGGCGGAAGAGACGGACGTGAGATTCGCGTGTTTGTTTCGCGTTGCCCTGAGACGCGCAGCTCTCTCTCTCTCTCTAGCACACACACACACACTCTCTCACTCTCTCCCACATGTCATGCATCTGTGCTATTTATACGTTCATTTGTTTCGCCCGTTGCCCGCGTCTCGTTGTTGCCGCCGGCCCGGCCCGTGATCGCTAGCGAGATAGGGGGGGCTCGGTCAAGCGCTCTTGCGATAACCGCGCTGCGCTAAACAGCCCCCGCGCGACCCGAGCGCGCGCTCCCCGCATCCTTCAACTAGCAAACGCGAGGCGACGCCAGAAGGGGGGGGGGGGGTAAGGGCCAAGCGAAAAGAGCGAGACGAGAGAGGGCGATCGGAGAGAGGGCGATAGAGGGAAGCGCACTGAGAGAGAGAGAGCGAGCGAGCGAGCGCGCGACGACGTGCGGAGCTTTCACAAAGCGACACTGTGCTGTTAATCTCCCGTGACCCGCCACGTACCGACGCTCTTCGAGCATCATTGAGAACGTCAAGTGAGACCTTTTGTAGATTTCCAGCTACGAAGAGAGCGCCTCTCGCTCCATCATCGTGACAGCGACCCGCAGGGCATGAAAGTGGACGCAACAGCAGCAGCAGCAGCGACAGCGACGGTAGCAGCTGCATCGTTCCAGTCGTATACCACATCCGATGCGGGACCCAAGCTCCAGCAAAGGGCGCGGCTGACATGACTCTCACGTAAGCTGCTACCGGAGGAGGAGGGAGGAAGAGAAGGCCGAGAGGTTTGGCGAAGGGAAATAGGGGGAAGAGGGGGGCGGGGAGGGGGGTGGTGGTGCCAGAATTGGATCTGCTGAAGTTGCGTCTTCGAAGCTCCACTCTGCGAGAAGTGAAAGTTACGAAGTTTGTTTTTTGGCGTTCCTCGTGGTCTGCCACCAACGCGCTCGTGTGACGGAGCGGCCGGGTTAGAGAGGAGCTCTCCCATCAACCACAGCAGCCGCTTTTTTTTCAAATTTTACGAAAAAAAAACTTACCAGTACTACCACTTATTGCAATTCATCAATTCACAATATATCTACATAAACCAACAACAATTTGGTCGCCAATACATGGGCACCTTGTGATCATAACGTGGCCAGAAACATCGTCGTCATCGACCGCGACAGCCAAACCGGACTGACGACACGCGCCGGCGTCAGGGATTTGGGTCGTGGCATCGTGGACACGCGGCGAGACGCGACTTTGGTGGCGTCGTTCTGCCTGCCGCCTCCCTCGATCACACACGACAACACACACGCACACACACGACAACGACAACACACACGCACACACACACACACGACAACACACACACGCACGCGCACGCACGCACGCACACACAACGGTGGCAACGCGAAGCCGAGACAACAAAGATCTCGTGTCACACCGTCGTCACCGTCGTCACGATGACGAAGTCAGCGCGACCGCAGCTGACGGTGCTGCTCCTGTGCGTGACCTTGTGCGGCCACGTTGCGCGCTCGTCCTCCGATGGGCTACCCCAGGCCTCCAGCCACGGTCTGAACGTCACCACGAACTCGACGGGCATCGGGGCATCGGTTCCCTTGCTCAAGCTCGGGGTGGTACTCAGCACGATGGCCATGGTGACGAACTGGATGTCGCAAACGCTGCCCGGCCTCGTGGGCCTAAACCTCACAAAGTTGGCTGGCGCTTCGGATCCCGACATGGACAAGATCTCATCCGTGAGTCGCGCGCGCGCGCGTCTGTGTCTTTGTCTTTGTGTGTGTTTGCACTTGTGCCGTGCCGGGCTTCAAAGGCGCTCGCTAACAGCACTTGCCCCGAAAGGATGTCAAAGGCTATACAGGGGGATCGTTGTCTTTGTGTCTGCACTTGAATCAATTTTCATAGATCTATCGATTCTGTTAATTGCTCGCGCGCTCCTTAATTGTGTTTTCTCTGGGCCCACCTGCTCGTCCATGTCTGTCTGTCTGTATGCATCCATCCGTACGTGTGTGTGCGGGGTGTATATTGGCCCGTGCGGGCAACTGAACATTATGGATTCGTGGGGGATTTATAATTTGCGATGAAGTGTCTGCCATTCTCTTTGGCGCGCAACCATAATTGAAAAGTGCATTGATTCGGTACACTGTACACGGGAATTGGAAGATCTCTCTCTTTTTCTCTCTCTCGAGCGAGCGAGCGCTAATGCAATTACCGGACACGTTTGATCGTGATTGGCACGTGGTGGTTCTGTCGTAATTATTAAGGCCACTCTCTGCAGAAGCGCGTCAACGCCAAAAGAAGGAACGCACGTGTATGCATGAGTGGCTGTGGGTATGCGGTAGGCAAGCATCCACTCAGTCCACCGAGTATGCAAAGTGTATAACAGCGGTCAATGTTGTTTTGTTCGTATCGACCTCTGTGCCCGTCAGCTCATCGGCCGCATTGTGAGATTACATAAAAATAACGAAAATCATTAGTTGCGCTGCGGGGGTGGTGGAGAGGGTGGAGGAGTGATACAGTCACAGTGGCCGTTATGAGGTTGTGTGCATGGGAGGATGGGATTTGGCGTGCGACTGCCAGCGAGCGGCAAATCGAGGGAGGGAGGGAGAGATGGAGAGAGATAAGGGTAGGGGTGTGGGGGGCGAAGGAGAGAGGGCGAGCGGCAGGCAGGGAGGGAGGGATGGATGGAGCGGGATTAGAAGGCGGTGGATGGGCGGTTGGGGAGAAGAACTGACCAATATGTCAGCGCGCTCATTTCGCTGGTTTATATGTGAGCGACTGAGAATCACACGGTCAGCAACAAAAATCTCTCCCCTGCATATGCCACGTGAGGGATGTGATGAGATCTGCATTCGGGGACTCTGTGCTCTGGCGCGCTGCGTAGCCAAACAACCAAAGCATTGAGCTCCATCTCGCCTGAGAGACCCACATGGTTGCTGCTGTGATTGAGCAGAGAGAGAGAGAGACACACACAGCGGTCGCTACGTAATTTCAGCCCCCCCCTCAACCCCACCCCACTCCCCGTATACCAACCAGCTTTGGAGCAACGCTCCAGTTATATCGTGGGTCGTGTCCATGCGACCCTGGAAAGGGATGTTTTTTGCACCAAACTACAATTATTGTTATTGTTTCATTATTTGTGTTAGCTCCATTCCGTTTGTAACCACGCCACCCCACCCTCCCCTTGTGTATCGTTTTATTATTATTGTTGTTTTAAAAAGATGTAAAAAATAGGTCACCCTAATGTATACACCACACACATGGGTGCATAAGCCACACTGCGTGCAAATCTAGGCATTCGAATGCCACGTTAATAATTCATGCTCGCGTGTCATAATAAAGCCGGGTATTAATCTGCGCAGCTTCGCTCATGAGTTCCGGCAAAAAAAAATGTACGTTTCTGAGGAATGGTTTTCTTGCTTAATTAAGTAATGAAAAGAGCAAAGGGGCTGGCAAAGAGAGCTGGCAGAGCTAGCGAGCGAGCGAGAGAGAACACGTGTCAGTAGAAATCACGGTGACATTTTAGTACCGCTAACCCATCGTATTTATTCAGGTCCCATTACATTCGCGGCGTTCGGCGCTGGGTTCAAAGGGGGCTCAACATTCCTTTTTTGTGCTCGCCGGGGCACACAGTCTTTAATGAGCCGTTCAAGAGATTGCTAATGGACTGTGAATCACATTTAAAAAAAAAAGCCGCACTCCATTTGACTCCGCAAGGCGCGACGCGTGAGGTTGACGCACTGGCTGATGTTAACCCTTGACGAGCTGCGATCTCTCACTCTCTCTTTCTCAGTCTCTCTCTCTCTCACTTGCAAAGAGAAGGCATGATTGCCCACTCGACCGCCCGCCCGCCCGCCTGCCGTTGTGTCTTCTGGTGTACGTGCGGGCTACTGGGAATTTTGATCGTGCTGCTTGGCATCTTTACGCGGCCCACAGAGGGAGGGGAGCCCTACATTCATTTTCAATTTAATTTTGAAGCCAGCAGAGAGGTGCCTGATATCGTGGTGGTTGTGGTGGTTGGTGGTAGTCGTGGTGCTGGTATGTGACGAGTGGTAGTGTCGCGGTTAGCCCAACGACCCGAATTCGAGTCCTGCTTGCGGCGTAACACCAGTGACGATTATGTGAACCTGGTACTGGGCCTCCCCTAGGTCGACTCAACCTCAAATGAGTACCTGGTTTGCGGTGTGTTAACATCGCCACTCGGGAGGCAAAGGCGGCCGTGCGTGGTGCTGGCAACCCACCCCCTCGTGTGCCGTTCCGGCCTTCATAGGTGCTCGCTAACAAGCACTTTCCCCTACAGTCTATTAAGGCTATGGGGTGGGGGATCTTTGCTTTTGTTTTGTTATCGGATGTACGTGCGTCTGACACGTGCGTATGGCACGATATTCACACAACGAATACTGCAATGTGGTCTTTTTAAGAGAGTCGGTCAGTTAAATTGTCCAGCAGTGGTTTGACCATAACTGCTGCTGTTGCTGATGATAATGGCGATGCTCAGCTCCACAGGAATGGAATCACAGCTGTAGCTGTAGAATACGACACGTGGAATTTCACGTAGTCTGTAACGCCAGCCTCACTGGAGCTGTTCGTAGGGCTTTGTTGTACTTCGTAAGATTAATGTGATGCATGAAAGAATCCCATCCCTTTGTCTCATCTTATACACCCACAGTCCACTGTGCTCGTAATTTCTCTTAGGGCTGAATTTATCCTATAGGTAGTGTCCTCTTTGCGGTTGCCCTTGTAAAAGAATAGACCTGCATTTGCATCGGTCCGGTAAATAAAGGATACCACTTCTACTAATACGACGGTACTACGGTCGTAGTTCGCGTGATATTCAGATATAAATATCACTTACGAGGTCAAAACTTTTAACAATCCAATGGAAGTGTGCCATGCTCACACTTTTCGCTGCTGTTTTAAACACTTACTTTGTTGGCATCAAAGGGCGTTGTCTATCAAACGGCGAAATCATCATCTCACACCAGTGACATTTACCAGCATTCATCAGTACCGGTTTTTTTCGTGACTCAGCTCAATAACGTCTCTTTTAATCCGGCAATTATTCGTGAATATCTGCTAATTTGTGACAGAGTGAAACAAATGAATGGGAAGATGTTGTTAGCGGGCACCTGTGAATGTTGGAGTGCATTGACGTGGGGAATGGGTGGACAGATTTGTATATCCAGTCCTGATGTTCCCCGCAGTGTACTCAGTGCGGTCATTTTGTGCTGAAACAACCTGGGGGTGGCCCACAACTGATTCAAATTCCAATTGATATGGGTTTTGAGCGTGGCCAGACATTAATACCCCAAAAAGACAAAGACACGCAACACGTGGACACAGAACAAAGACAACTACAAAGATCCCCCGTATAGCGTTAGCAGACTCTCAAAGGTAAGTGCAGTTAGCGAGCACATACGAAGGCTGGCACGCTACACGACGGGATTGGTAGCCAATACCACGCCCGCTCGCCTTTGTCTTCCTTGTGCCGATATTTACACACCGCACCAGGTGCTCATTTGAGGTTGAGTCGACCTAAGGGAGTCCCAGGACCGATTCAGATAACCGCCACTTGTGTTGGCCGTAAGCGGGAATCGAACCCGTCTCGCCGGGTTCGTAGCGCAGCGCGCTAACCGCTACACCGCCGCTCTCCACTGGACACGCAACACCAATGCGCGCACACACACACACACTCATTATACGCAGTCGGTCACAAGCTCACTCACTCAACCGCACGTACACCGAGACACTCACACGCTCACGTGCACACGGCGGCGTGAAACACAATCACACACGCACGCACGCAGAGGTGCGCGCACACACTCACTCAGTGACACCAACACACACACACACATGCACACACGCACAAATGAACGCTGTGCCTCCCCTGGAGCGGACTGTCACATCAGATAACCAAAGTACAAAATCACAGCTCGCAACATTAACAATTTAGGGAATCCTGACTAATGCGTTGTCACTGGAACTCGCAGTGTGGTGCACTTAAACAGTTCAGAGGTCAGCAGGCAGCTTCTTCAAAGGTTCAGATTGTCACTTGGGCTGTACGTCACCTTATCGAGCAACCTTTACCAAAGAGTTGGCATTTTAAGTGAAATCTGGCAGCCGCCTGGACTGGCAGCTAGAATTGTCCGCTTCAACAATGTTTTGGTCACCTTTACATAACAAGTCAAGTAAGTATAGATTTGAAGCTTTCGTGACTTCAAGGATTGATACTCTTTGGTTTTTTCGTTAAACTCACGTAGGTAAAAAATAAACTAATTTAGTTGTTTTCATTTATTTTATTTTTTTCCTACGTGACTTTATCGAAAAAACCAAAGAATATCAAGTAAGTATGTTGAACTTATTTCGCACCGTACGTAGCCAACCGTACCGATCGGAGGTGCGGAGGAAAGGACAAGAAACTTAAACACAAAAAGCAGTTATAAATAAAAATCAGTGTTCAACCTAGATTTTAAAGGGCACAGCAAGTGACCACATCGTGTCGGAGCTCCAAAGTTATGCTTGAGATGCTACAGATACCGCCATTGGGGGTTTAAATTAAATTTAAAACTCTTCATTTAATGCGTACCGACACATTTAAAAAATAAACTGCAAACTTTTTGGTGGGGAGGGGGTGAGAATGATTAAAACCCATTATTTATTTTTCATTTCCATTTATTAAAAATTCGTTTTTCACACTTAATCTCTGCTCGTGGAAATAATTCACGTTGCAACTGTTGTCACTAATTGCCGCAATGCTCTCACGTTACCGAACGTTCGCTTAAAAAAAGAAAAGCTCCAACACATTTGCAATTATATATATTGATATGTAGTACTTTATATATTAAACACAATTCTACATATATTAAATACAATATAATTGGCTAACGTTTTGGCAATGTGTCCTTCTCGGCTGCCACATTAGTCCCCTTATATTTGTCCGCTCGAGGACAGCGCCAATAATGAACGTGGGTAACATTCTACATTTGAAGCTTTCGTGACTGCAAGGATTCATATTCTCAGGTTTTTTTTTCGGTAAGGTCACGTAGGTAAAAAATTAACAATAAAGTTAATAAAAGTAAAATAAAAATAAAATAAAAATCACGACGTGTCGATACAGCTATCGTGATGTGACGGTTCCACCTGAAGACGGAAGCTTGTGTTGCCTCCGAAACGTCGTGATTTTTATTTTATTTTACTTTTATTAATTTTATTTTAAAAAATTTACCTACGTGACTTTACCGACAAAACCTAAGAAAAATGTGGGTAACGTTCCATTGATTTATCTTCACCTGTGCGCCCCTGCCAACTTGGGCCGTACCGTCAACCCCTCGACCCTTCGCTCGCTGCGGAATCCTTCTCGACCCCGCGATTCCAGAAGTCCCCTTTGTCGTCCGGAGAGACACCGCCACCCCCTCCCCTCCCCTCCTCTCCGTTAGCTGATTACATCATTGCTTTGGGTACGAGACGAGGGTTGTTTTTCAAACTTATTTTGCTAATGACGACGGCGCCGAACTAGGTTCGAGCATTTGCCCCCCAATTGGACGAAGCTGCTCTCGCAGGGCTCTGAATATTTGATGAAAAACATGTGCAGGCCGGACAACAAGGGGGGCTTTGTTGTTGTTGTTGCTGATCTGCTCCTGTCTAACCACAGCCCTATCGATGTGCCGATGCCGCTGATGCGGCTGTTGTTGTTATTGTTGCTGCTATTGTTGCTGTTATTGTTGTCGATTATTTTATTGTTGTCATCGTTGTTGTCCTTATTGTTGCTGCTATTAATGTCGATGATGTTGTTGTTGTCATTGTTATCATTTTTGTTATCGTTGTTATCATTGTTATTGCTGTTGTTATCGTTGTTATTGTTATCATTGTTGTTGTTATTGTTGTTGTCGTTGTTGTTTCTGTGTGCGCTTCGCAACTCGCCACCTGCGTTGCAGTCGCAAATTGAGCGCCAAACGAATGCAAACTTAAATCTCTTCTACTCTGAGAACGTTCCTCGACGTCCGCACGTAGCACGTTGAACTTCTTTAGCACCGTACGTAGCCAACCGCGCCAATCGGAGGTGCGGGGGAAGGACAACAAACTAAACGCACAAAGCAATTGTAAAGAAATGAGTTTTCAATCTGGATTCTAAAAGTGCAGAGCTCCCAGTAGTTTCCGAACATTGGAAAGAAGAACGTTCCAGACGGCCGTGGACGATGGCGATTGGCACACCCTACGGCATTAGCGACGCACGCTTACGTTATCCTGACGTTGGGGGGGGGGAGGGGTGAAGGGAAACTTCTGATATAAGCACAACTGGCCTACGCTCGAAAGGAAATGAGGTACAAGTGCAACCCTGCAATGAATTGCTCACACCACTGCCGGTGGAAATGTCTCCAATAGAGGGAGCTCTATGTACGTACGTATCAATTTGAACTTCTTTCGCACCGTACGTAGCCAACCACGCACTAATCGGAGGTGTGTAAAAGACTCTGAAGAGCAGGGGTGGCCAATCTCTAACAGGCCAAGAGACAAAAATGTGCTCACGAGCTTTGCAAAGAGCCAAGTGTCTATATATATAAGTGTATATATAATGACAGTTTTCGGCACAGCACTAGAGACATTCGGTCTACGTTATGCCCCTTCGATAGAGCCGCACGTGGTGGATTAAAAGAGCCGCATGACGCCAGGTGGCCACCGCTGCCAGTCTTGAGAGCCCCTCCGGGGAGGCTATTTTTTACCGCCTCGACCACCTTGGCCAGACGACTTGGCAGAGGTGGCAGTGCCCACGCTCTTCCCCAAAGGGGCCGTGCTGCTGCTTCTTCTTCTTGTTCTTCTTCCGTACGGCGGATGTCGATGCAGAGCAACAACAACTACAATTTCACATGCAGGTGGCCAAGCCAGATAACCACGCCAGGAGCGGCTGAGTCTACGATCTGTTCCGGATAATCGCAGTCGCACGCTACCGGAGAGTTTTTAACGTTCCATCAAACCCAGGGATGATGGCCTTGCGTTTGGCTCTTGCAGGGGCCATGCTTATATTCAGCATCTACGGTCACAATGCAGAGATACTCAGGACGAACTGAACACAAGCGCTCTCGCCCTCATCCAAGCGAGCAGCTGGCCACATTTTGTTCTCGACGAACGATAACATTTCCGACACACACACTCTCAGCTATTTTGAGCCGAGTGGTCTGGAGGAGTTTTTGTTACGCGCGATGCGCACCGCCGTGTCGTTTGACCCACTTGTTTCCAGCCTGCAGACATTTTCGCGTGCGTCGATGGAGTCTCTCGTCATTTTAACAGACTCAAACGATCGGGAAATTAACGTGCAACTGGTGGGGGGAGGGGATAAGGGAACAAATCGGTGAATGCGAACGGATTACGAATGGTTCGGTTGCAAATCTGTCTCGCGGTTGAAGTTATTTATATTTTTATTCTACCAGGTGAGGCCAACTAAGCTCTTTAGCTCTTTTTCAGATGCGACCTGACCACAAATAATTGCCCAATCAAGAGACACTCATCACGCGGAAATGTATAGCAGCCAAATTACTCTATACGCACGTTGCTTCTAAATGTGGAGGGTCAAAAACTGGAGGACCCGGAGAAAAAAATCCACGCGACCACTGGCAAAACACGCAAACTATAAGTATACAGGCACCAGGAACGAGATCAAACCCACGACCTCTTGTTTACCGGGCGAGGTAGTTAACATCTCTCCACCGCGGTGCCTGCCTGGAAATAAGCATGCCCTCCCACCCCCAATCTCTTCCGAGACAGCCATCCTTCGTGGAAGAGTAGGCAAAAACATCCTCGCATAGGCAATTCCGCCAGCAGCGACGCGAGCCAGCAATTTCCTGGATGGCGGTTTTGAAAGATGTGCCCAGCGCACGCACACACACATGTGCCCAGCGCACGCACACACGCGCCCCGCGCGCACACATGTGCCCAGCGCACGCACACACGCGCACCGCGCACACCCGGCTGACCGATGGACCCAACCACGTTCGCTCGGCCTGTGTGCCCCCCTCCGCGCACACCCCCACCCCCTTCTCCCCGCTTGCAGGGCTTCATACCGAACCCGGACGAGGGCTGGCAGGTGTTCACCTCGGCCCAGGACGCGGACGGGAAGTGCGTGTGCACAGTGGTGGCGCCGCAGCAGAGCGTGTGTTCGCGGGACGCTCGCTCCCGCCAGCTTCGCCAGCTGCTTGAGAAGGTACGTGTCGTGGGGGGGGGGAGGGGGGGCGGGCGGTGCCACTTAGCGGCACGGGTGGCGCATCTGTCAATCAAATATCGGCTCCGAGGGCAGCGATGTTGCAGGTGGTGCCACTGTACCAGGGGCCCCCCTGGGTGCCGGAGGAGGAACCCAGTTAGGTGGGGACCGAGCCGGGGTGGGGGTGGGGGGGATGGTTCCCATTTGAATTTTTTTGCGCCGGGGCCGATGCCAACGAAGCCCCACGCCGCTGGTCCAGGACACCTGTGCCGTGCGCAGCGTGCGCTCGCTTTGCAATTATAATTGCAAAGCGCGTAACCTTGACGACGGACGGACGGACGGGCCGAGGGTTATATAGCGCTCGATGGCAGCAGCAGCAGCAGCGGCGGCAGACCGTCTCAAATTTAACCGCCGGGTATATCGTGCGCGTTGGGGGTAGGGGGGGGGGGTACAGGGTCGGAAACCCCACGCTCACAGGGGAGCACTTCTCATTCAGGTGCAGTTTCCCTCTCTCTCTCTCTCGGCGGAGGCTCTGCCGAGCATTTTGGGGGTGATGTCACCTGTAGTGTCATGGAGCGATATCACACCGGCCCCGCACCGCTTCCAACCGCCCGCTCTGCCTCGTGGTGAAAGAAGAAAAAAAAAACGATCCCGAGAATCACCCCGCCTGGTCTGTCATCGCTTTTAAAAGAATTGCATGGAACCTGCCTACGTTTTGCTGTTGTTGTCGTCGTTTGGTTTTTCGCTCTTTCGCGATGCGAGAGGATCGCGTGGGGAGGGGAGAGGAGCGGAGAAGAGCGGAGACGAGGTGAATGTGGAAGAGCTAAGGGGAGGTAGCAGGGCCATTAGAGGGTCAAGGAAAGCGCGTCCCACCGTACGCGCCCGTGCGTGCGCACATGCGTGCCGAGCCGCCACCCCCGCTCAATCCTGCGCTGCCTCCGTGGCTGCGCACGATGGATGGATTCATTTCCCTTCGTATAATTGAGCCAGCGGTACTCAGTGGCCAGAGTTCGAACCGACGGGCGTGCCGCCGGTATTGGCCCTTTACTCTTGTTGCCACTATCGTCGTCGTCATCATCGCCGCCATCACCATTATCGACGGTTTCTTAATGCGTACCAGGCCCCAACGTAGTGCATGCGCGTGTACCCGCGTGCGTGCGTGCGTGCGTGCATGCATACGTGCGTGTCTTTCAATTACCAAAAAAACAATGAAGTGAAGGTGCATTTCGGTAAAGCTAATGGCCTGCGAATGTTGTCGCTTGCGCATAAATTCAGATCGTATCAAGCGAATACAAAAAAAATAACGCTTTACGTTCACAAACAAATGGGGAGCAGAAGGTCAACGGACTGCAGGGGTTACCATCGGGAGACCGAATGGAGAAGAAGAAGAGGAAAAAACCACAGATACATAAAAAAGATGGGAATTCATTTGCTCATTAAAAATATCATAATGGTGTAACGATTTAGCCTGCACACAGCAGTTATTTCTGCAGCAGATGAGCAAATCCAGGGTCACACAAAAGGGCACAATTCTCCACCCCACGCCAGGAGACTCCCTCACCCCCCTCCCACCGCGCCGTGTTCCCAGAGCCACACTAACACCTGCCACTGGCAAAAACGTGTCGAGTGTAATGGGGAATAACCGCATCGGGCAGAACACCTACGCAATGAAATCTCGCAATTGGTGTTGGCTATTGGAGGCCTTGCCAGTGATGGGATGGCATTTTTTCTTAATGCGTTTTAACACTTTCTATATGCGAGTGTGTATTTGCCCTATACATATATATGTACACACACACACACATATAAAAACAGACAAAGATCCCCCGTATAGCCTAAACAAATTGTCGGGGCAAGTGCTGCTAATGAGCAGCACCTATTAAGGCTGACACGGAACACGTGGGGGTAGGAGAGACCCAGGACAGTTCAAATATAATCGGCGCTGCTGTTGGCCGTGAGCGGGATTCGAGCTCGGGTAGCCGGGTTCGTAGCTCAGCGTTTTAACCGCTGTGCCCTTGCTCCCCATAATAGATATATATCTATACACACACACACACACGTTCTAGTTTGCACACGCATATCTTACATATGCCGAGCACACATTAATTACACGTATTGTCATACAGCGATTTTTACCCTCCATGAGCAGGCCGATCCGCAGCGGCACCGAAACCGACTGACTGCATTTTCTCGCAAGACCGTTAAACAAATGCTGGGGATGACGGAGCCAATAATGGCGGCGCAGCCTTTGGCAAATAATTTAATCACCACTGTTGAGCATAAAAACAAAAACACCACCACCACCACATTTAACCTGACAACACCTGCCGCCGTAATTATAATAACCGCCTCCGGCGGGCATCGTCGCCACACCACCCGCCAGGCCCCTTGGAGGTGGCACGTGTGGATGTGGAGCGAGAGACGTGGCGGTTGATGGGTTCGCGCTGTCGATGCGTTGTCGCTTTCGCCGAACGCATCTGACAAGCTAGGCGAGATTTTATTTTAGTGTTTAATTACCGCAGTTACAACGGTTTGATCGTGTTGAGAAACGTGGGTATTGTATGATTAGCGTCATTGTGCCGCTGTTGTATTCATTAACCGGCGTTTTAAATCATTTGCAAACGTGAAACGATCAGTCCATTAATCCTGAAACTAAAAATAATGGCCTCTCCTTCCCATTCGTGTAAGGTTTTTTTTTTTGTCTGAGTGACTGCCACTGCTCCTGCCCATAGCAACGACAACAACAACAACCAGCGTGGTGTTATTATCGATTAGGAACAACAGGATACATACAAATATATGCCATATATAGTACAGGATGGACACACGCACACACACTGCGTAGATGACATACGAACCAACTCTATTGACAGAAGCAGAATGAAAACATATATATGCGGCACTTTTTATTAATCCACTGACAGTCGATGGATTTGTCCACATCGTCCCGTAACAATGGGAGCTGTTTGCCCATACTTCACGCCATTTGCTCGGTGCGGGTTGGTGACGGCGGAGGGCTCACAACTAGCTCAAACATCACTTGCCACTCATGCCAGCCATGGCCAGGAATCGAACTCTGGTCACCAACCTTCTGCACCACTGCACCGCCCTAACGCGGGACAAAGTGTTTGTGCCTACATGAGTCTTTTGGGCAGTATTTGGATGATAAAAAAATAATGGGCTTTACCCTATTTCTGGTAACAATACGGGAGGTGTTAAAATGTTCAAACACCAAATAGATACCTAGAATTACGAGGCACAAAGTTTGCATTAACCACACATGCTTGTGGTAAAACATGCAAACAAAATATGCTTTGATAGTGTACGCATTGTGTCACTGATTGTCCTACACCAGAGACAGCCTCCTTCATGACTTTGTCTCACAGGTGCTAAGAAGAAGGCCAAAAGGCGGACAGCTCAAGGACAATGCACACGCTAAAGCATTACTTTTAAATATGCATTGAAAACTCATTCCTTTAGAACTGCTTTTTGTGTTTAGTTTGTTGTCCTTCCCCCGCACCTCCAATTAGCACGGTTGGCCGTGTACGGTGCAAAATTAATTCAACGTACAGTTTGTTATCCTATAACGCGGCCGCATTATGGAAAAATCGCATTATAATCAATAATATAGGGTAAAGCACAGTCCGCAATAACACGTGAGATGCGTGGTTAGCATCTAGAAGGATCCAGCAGCTTCCCAATGCCTTAGCAGCCGTACAGCCGCTTATTCCTACTCATGCGACGTAGTTCCGTCCACTCGATCGCGTTATACCCAATTTGCGTCCGCGTTATAACAAAAAAAGTGTTCCCTAATACATTCATCCCGTCATATCCAATTCGCGTTGTGAAAACTACGCGTTCCAGGAGAACAAGCTGTACACACGTGCATTAATATCGCGGGCTATTAATGCCTCGGCGTTTGCATCGTCCTAACGCTTCCACAAGAAGGTTTTCTCCCCGACGGCTATCACCGAAATGACGACCGACACGGGGCCACGAAATCCTTCTCACACACAGGTGCAGAACATCTCGCAGTCCATGGCCGTCCTCGATCTGCGCACACAGCGAGACATCAAGTACATCGAGGGCATCGAGAAGCAGATGAACGCCCTCGACAAGATGTTCCAGGAGGCCAAGGAGGACCGCAAGGATCTGCTGGCTCGGCACTTTCAGGTACACCCGGTGGAAAGAAATACATAAGGGGGGGGGGTGGTGAATTTTTAAACATCTCGTAACAGTCACTTTCTTTTTAACAACGTGCAAACAAAAATATCGTTTTGACAATGTCGTGCACGTTTTAACAATGTTGTGAATCTAGCGACCGCTTATTTGGCTGCAGGGATTCACACCACTATTTACATACAGAATATTCACCATCAGTTACGCTCTATCCACTGCTGGACGAATGTCTGGTGACGCCATCACACGCATTCCCACGATGCCACAAATCCATTCCGCTCCTGCGCGTGAGCTGATTTTGCCACTCTTACGCCATGCCATCCATCCTCTAGGGTATGTGCATCATCTAGGGCGCCGTGGTGGTTAGATGTTAATTTCCTCGCCTGGTATGCCGGAGGTCCTGGGTTCCATCCCGCTCCTGATGCCTGATGTATATTTGGAGTTTGCATATCTCTCTCCCCGCGGTCGAGTGGATTTTTTCTCGTAAGATTCCACGTTATAAACCACTTCGTTGAGCTATCGCTTGCTCAGTGGGCCTTACCTGGTAAAATAAAAATATAGTTTTAGATGAAGCCCACCTCCACTTTCCATTCTTCCTCGAAATACTCTTACGGACGGCTTCTCTGACGTATGTATGTTGAACATCTTTCGCACCGTACGTATCCAGCTGAGCTAATTGGAGATGCAGAAGGGCAATTGGGCAAAATGTCGCCATTGTATATATTTTGTTTCCTTTTTCAGGCCACAATTGTATCGATGAATGTGTTGAGTTTTGTTTCGCTATGTTTGTTTGTGCATCACTGCCAATACCAAAATGATTTACACCGCATGGTGGGCAGAGGCTGGGAGAAAAGGGCACCAGAGAGCCGTACGCAGTATTTGGTTGCTCCAGCCGGGAGACACTTTTAGATTTGGTCGTAGACCTGAAACGCATTTACGTCTGTATCGCTATCTTTTTTTTTTGTAAGATCGATCTCCAATGCAAGCTCGTGACCTCTAGCTGGGACGCGCAATTTTGTTTTAACATTCGCGAGAAAGTTTCGGCTTGAAAATAAATTAAATAAAGATTCAACAATCCCCGAAAATAGCAAACGGCGAGGATTTGCGAGTTACAGCACGTCAAGTGCGCTGGGTGAGACGTTGCCTCTGCTAAGACACGACCAGGCGAGTGGGAGCGTTGCCCGTTAATAATTAGCTTAACGTAACGACGAGACTGAATTCCTTACGGCCGCTATATTTGACGTATATATAGAAAAAAATTAAGCAACGGGGGCCTGCGCAATTTTGTCCAAGTCGCCGCCGACATTCATTTTTCACGGCCATTAAAGTTCAGCGTAAATGACAAAAGCCGAAACAAAAGCGACCCGTCAAAGGCTGCAAGGACGACCGGGGAGCAACGTCCTTTGAAGCCGCGGCGCCACTCGGCTCCCTTGCTGTGAGGTGCCCTTCGATAGAGGGCGGCACCGCTGTGGGTCGGGGAGCAGCCGTTTACAAACTGCCGTCAGTTCGCGAGAGGCGAATGCCGTTCGGTAATTTAGCAATTGGTAATTGTTGGAGGCAAGCGTTGCTGGCGAGCACCTACGAAGGCTGGCACGGCACACGAGGAGGGTAGGAGAAGTCCAGGACCGGTTCAAATAATCGCCACTGGGGGTGGGTGGCAAAGACCACGCACGGCCGCTTTTTTCTCCCCTGGCGGTGATGTTTACACACCGCACCAGGTACTTATTTGAGGCCGAGTCGACCTAGGGGAGGCCAAGGGCTGGATCAGATGAACATCACCGATGTTGGCCGTGAGCGGGAATCAAACTCGGGGTGCCGTGTTCGTTGCGCAGTGTGCAAACGGCTACCCCACCGCTCCCCACAACAGTACCACTAACAGCGTGCACACACACGCAGTAGCCTATGTCCTTCAGTGTAAACGTGCAATTACTGCAAATGTAAAGACAATGTATGGGAAGCATTATCGGCGAGTGATGTCAACTGAGCCGGTCCTGTCCTGCCTCACCCCCTTTACGAACCCGCCACGCTAACAAGCACATGTGAAGGGATGCCGTGGGGAGGAAGGCTTTAATCCAGAAGTGGCTCATAAAAAGGCTGCAAAAGTGTAACATCTCAATCATCGTAGACAGCCGCTGAGCTATGGAGATCTGTGCATCTCTACGTCAGTCCATGGCCCTCTTGTGAGAGTCCGCGGATTTCCGAGTAGACTCAAGTTGGAAGTGTTCTGCAAAGCTGATGGATGTAAATAGTGTGCCTTTGTGCCGTCATCATGGAACAACTTCGGGGCTTCTCGCTCACCGCCGACAAACTCCAAAACTCCATTTTGCCATCTCGCTCACCGATCCATTCCTCCTCTCTCCCCTCGCCGTCGCCCTAGGAGCTGAAGGAGAAGATGGACGAGCTGGTGCCGCTGATCCCCGTGCTGGAGCAGTACAAGGCCGACACGCGGCTCATAGAGCAGTTCAAGGCGGAGCTCAACAACCTGTCGGTGGTGCTGGGCAGCATCCAGGACGAGATCGGTGGCAACGAGTTCGAGAGCCTGCAGCGGCGGGTGCTGGACCTCGAGTCGAGGCTGCACAGCTGCATGCAGAAGATAGGTGAGTGGCACACAGACCAGGGCGTATTTGTTCATTTTTCCACTGCACAACCGGACCGTGCCGAGGCCAGTTTTTTTTTTTTTTCCCACTGCCGGGAAGCCAGAGCCGTGACGTCGTGAGCGGCCGAATGCGCGGAAACCAGGCGATGACGCGAGTTCAATATCAACGACTCGATGTCGCAGGGCAACGGCGATGATCGACTGTGCCTCCCCACCCGCACCGCCCCCCCACCACCCCCTCCCCACCGTGTGCCTGCTCGCCCCCTCGAGCCACATTCAGCCATTTCGCGGGAGAACAACGTCTAACCGTTTAGTTCTGCATCAGCTCGGCAAAATAGCCAGTTGGAAACAATAAATCACCCGTAGCATGAGAGGCCCACATGGTGGCTCGGCTCGGATGTGCCAGTGGAAATGGGGTAAAAGATCCTCCGTAGGGCTTCGCTGTTTTTTTTTTACTTTACCAGGTAAGCCCCACTGAGCTTCATAGCTCTTTTTCAGAAGCAAACTGGCCCACAAATGATAGCCCAATGAAGTGGCTTATCGCGTGGAAATTAAGAGCAGCCAAAAATACGTTGATTCTAAATGTGGAGGGGAAATCCCGGAGGACCTGGAGTAAAATCCACGCGACCACGGGGAGAAGAAGCAAACGCCGAATATACAGCAGACGTCAAGGTAAGTAACATCTCGCCACGGTGACACCCCTGACACAGACCAAAGGGACAGGTGCTGTTAGCGAGCGCCTGTTGAACCTGCACGGCACGTGAGGCGGTGGTGTGGCCGGAACAATGCTTTTGTCTTCGTGGGACCGTGTTAGGAGGTAAGGGACCAGCTTGTATATTGGCCATGATGGTCTCGAGCAGGAATCGAATTCGAGTTGTCCGACTTCCACGTCGCCACTTTCATCACGAAATCGCAGTGGCAGCCTTTCCATCTTCATGATTGCTTCTAATATTTATATTAAAAATTTCTTTAGTTAATGAAAGCCTTGGTTTGTGAGACCTTAGATGACTGCATTCGTTTATAATCAATCTAATGCCTTTCCACGGTCTACAAAACGCATGCATAATTTCATTTGAAATTAATGCGTTTTTTTAACGTCCGATTGAGAGTATGCGTTTGGTTAATGATAGATTTTAAAAAATCCCTTCTAAACTCAGCTTGCTCACACCGTTAGAAGACCTCTAAATTGCCCATTATTCAATTACATTATGGATCTTCGCGTACACTTTATTTACATACCATCGGAAGCTAATGAGTGTAATTATTTAAATCTTTCATCTACACTGAATGGATAATGATTGGAGCGTCATGCCACAGCTGAGGTGTTTATTTAGTTATCCAACGAGTTCAAAGACACGGGGAGGGAAATTACCGTTTGGTTGAGAAGTCTGTATTCCTAGGGTGTCTACTGAAGGCAGGATTAAGACCTCATTTATGACGTAAAGAGGCAAATGAGAGAAGGATGAGCAGCTTTTGTAAAGGTGAATGTGAAAATAACAAAAAATGTACTTGCCAAAATGTCAGCATGAGGTTATCAATCAGAGCACATTACCCTTCATAGGGTATCAATAGATAAGCACACGAGAGCACCTTCTTCGTATATCTGTCGCGCTACGTAAAAATAAAATGCATCCAAGCAACGTTGTCACGTCTCATCAAATCACACGCAGCCTTTGGGGAGTGCATTGTTTCCAGCAGCATTTGTTCAACGCAAGTAACCTCCATGGCGGTTTCAACATTCGGCGTCTCATTAGTGGAGTCAGGCTTCGTTGAACCGGTGCTGGCTGAACTTGCCAGATGTTCATCGGCAACGCTAGAGAGGGTTAGATGCAATACTCTAAAATACGTAACACAAGATCACAATTTTCATTGCTGTGGATGATATGAGTAACAAAACAAACAAGCACATAATAAGCCTATTTCACACATCTGATCCTTTGTATCAAAAATATAACATATTTTTTATTAGACTTCCCCCTCAGCTGGGATTGCATTATTTCAACGGCGGATATATGGCAACCCGAGGCGTCGACACTGACAAAAGAACATGGAACAAGCTTTGTAAATCAATGGAGAGAGTGAGAGAGAGAGGAATGTTTGGAATGGTAATGGGCAAGACAAACGGACTGAATCTAAGGACATGCAGCAACAATAGTTAGCGACGTGGCAACCACGATTTAGGAGATTGAATGGGCTTGGGCAGGACATGTCGCTTGAAGGAGATCACAGCCGACGGTGAGAGCATGGCAGCCAGGGCAGGGGACACTGCGGAACACTTTTTTGAAAACTATTTTTAGTTATTTCATCAGATAAGACCCACTGAGCTAAAAAGCTGGGGGTGTTTTTTTTAGAAGCGGCCTGGCCACAAATTATAGCTCAACAAAGTGGCTTTTCACGTGGAAACTTACAGCAGCCAAACAATCTCAACGCGTGTCGATTCTAAATGTGGAGGGAAAAAGCGGAGGACACGGAGAAAATTTCACACGACCGCGGGGGGAGAGACACGCAAACTCCGAATATACAGCAGGCGTCAGGGTCGGGATCGAACCCTTGACCTCCTGTATACCAGGCGAGGTAGTTAACATCTCACCACCACGGCGCCCTCGAGAGGTAACATACCCTAGAGGACTGCTGGAATGGAGATGGAGTGGCAAGATCAGCTCATGTGCAGTAGGGGGATGGATTGTGGCATTGTGAGACCGCGTGTGATGGCGTCGGTGTCTGCAGGCATTCATCCAGCAGTGGATAGAGCACGACTGATGATAGATAATCTGTACATAATTTGATGGCGTGAATCTCTGCGGCCAATAAGCGATCACGGCAATCACGACATTGTCGCGATCAAATTGCATCGCTAAATTCCAACGACGATTCATTTAATTTCTCGGTGGGAGGGAATTAGATCAGCACAGTTATGGTAATCAGGTATTTATTCATCACGTGCCAATTACCAACCACGGGTCTTAAATGCGCAGCCATCGGGAACACCTTTGCAAGTGCATTTGTAAGGCATCAGACATGCTATTTTAAACTAGAAACACCAGTGAAAGTAAAAAGAAGAAGAAAACACCGTAAAAGCAATTAACAGAACAATTTAAAGGCATATTATAATACTTTTAATCATCATGATAATTAATTTCCAGCGCTTTATAAATCCATTCTGGATAAGAGCCTCCCCCACCCTGTGTTGAGTTAAAAGGAAGGGCCATGAGGCATCTTACTACTAAGCATTCTACCAACTTTGCCTATCAACTTCTGGACAGATGTTTGTGTGTTGAACTTCTTTCACACCGTACGTAGACAAACGTGCTAATCGGAGGTGTGGGATGAAGGACGACAAAGATGAGCCCCCCCCCCCCACCATATAGGTCCTGTGAGGGGTGTTTGACCATACTTCACCAGACCGGTCAGTGTGGATTTAGTGGGGAAAGGGGATGGGTGCCCAGCACCGTTTCGGAGAGAACTTGCCACCAATTCTTGGTCATGGATTCTAATCGAACTTCGTTCATTGATGTTCGTAGTCCAGGTGTGTTAACCGCCGTTAACAACAAAGCAAAGAAATGTTTCACACCGAGGCTCTCACGATCGCCAACGATGCAGGGTATGATCTCCAGCGAAACGAACAAAAGAAAACGTTGAGAACGAAAATTGTGATCGATTTTAAACGTGACCGGTGCCTGCTGATATAGAAAATCATTCGGCACATTCTGCCCAACGAAAACTTGATATGTTTTGCTCTGTCGGGTGGTGGAGAGTTATGACTATAATTGACGTTAAACCTCCACGGATGTAAACCGAAAAATAAACTAATTACGTATCAAAGCAAAACATGTGAGGCCTGTAAAAACGTTTTTTTGTTGAATTAAACATGCAGTAGAGGGAGTAATATGAAAGGGATTTGTTTTACTTTTAATCATTTAATTAATGATAATCAACAAAGGGGTACATTTCAAATATTTCGTTCATAATTCCACAATAGATAACGGGTGGATTTTAAAAATATTAATTATTCGTTCCTAAATGTATTTATGAAACCCTTAGAAAAAGTTAAGGGTCCGTCCATAAATGACGTCACGCACCTGGGGGGGGGGTCAGACATTTGTGACGATGTGTGACGAGGGGGGGGGGGGTTGAGAAATGTGACGTCACATCAATATGCGTAACTTTAAATAAATATAGACAACACGTCCTACTTAATTAAATATACTTTTGTTTCACCTACAACATCAGAGTGCAGCGCCACATTAAATACGCACTACAATGACAATAGTTTAAAGCGATTTGAAGCATATTTTATTTTATTTTGGGGGGGGGGGGGGCAGAGCTTTGTGACGTCATATTTGAGGTGGGGTCTGACTTTTTGTGACGCCGTGTGACGATGGGGTGGGGAGGGGTCAAAAATCATCCAAAATCGCGTGACGTCATTTATGAACGGCCCCTAACTGTAGCTAAAGAAAAGTTTCAAAAATTACCTCCGGTATCTAATCAGAATAATTATGGATCACAGAGGGAGTTTAATTAGTTCATGATTTGCTTAATTACATGTTGAGAACAACATGACCTTGCACTCAGAACGGTAGAATTATATATTTTTAAAAAGGTAAGTTGTAAATGTACAGCCCTGCAATTGCTTACTCGCACCACTGCTGGCAAAAGGACCTCTACGAGAGGGAGTTTTAGAGAGCTCATCTATATCGCGTGTTTTTTGGCCTACTCTTCCACGCTGGTCAGACATTTTGGAACAAAAACAGTAGGAGATACCCACATTTTACCCCAGCGCATGGGACTTGGGACTTGCCGAACGACTGACTCAGGATGACACAAATGTCACGTTCCTTAAAGGTACGGCCTTGCAAGGAAACGCTTGTAATAGGCAACATTTTGGGCAATGTTCCTTCCTCGTAGCACATGAAGCTATGGAGAAGGGTGATTGCCTGAAACGTCACCTATTGTGGGCGTGACGGTGGCAAGATGTTAACTACCTCGTCTGGCATGGAGGAG